GACGCGCATCTTGTAGTTTGGCATCGGCGCAGGCCACCTGAAAGCAAAACAAAACAAGATGTGATGGCAGTGTTACACAAACAACGCTTCAGCAGTGAATATGACATTAATGCTTTTTATAAAAGAAAATAATTTTTTCCTGTTGTAATTGCTCTCTTCCAGCATCTCTGCAGCTATAGTTTTTGACACCGTGCTGCCATCTCCTTGTCGCTTTATTACAACCTAATAGAAATTGTAAATAAAATGAGATAAATTTATGAACAGAGTACATGGCAAAGAAAAATGGAAAAGAACATATGATGGTAATTGAAAACATATCGCTTGAACGGCTAAGCAAATACCTCAATTGCCATGCCCCCATCACAACCTCCATAAGCTTCAATATGACTTACGGCAGCATCCAGTAATATTGCACCAAACTGATGCATGCGTTTTGAAGTTATAGTAATTACAAAAAGCATACAACGAGGCAAAATCATAGCAGCAAGCTACAGAAAACATAGTTACCTCTGGAACACTCGAGAGAACCTTTTCACCACATTTTACAATAACATCACCGACACATAATCCAGCAACATCAGCAGGTGATCCCTCAACAACCTAACAATTTATTTGATCTATTTTATACAAAACATGCTAGTGAAACAACTACTCCCTCCGTCCTAAAATAAGCATTCTCAACTTTCTACTAACTTTAGTACAAAGTTGTGCTAAGCTTGAGACACTTATTTTGGGACAGACGGAGTATATAATAAGCCAGAAAATAAATAAATAAATAAAACTACTTCAGATATTGCATTTTGGGGAATTAAAAAAATCTATATGTGGTTTGCAAAAATAGTAATATATTAAAAATACCAACATGTGCACCGTACTTCAAACATTAAACTCACTAACCAGCAAAGCAACTCTACTGAGAATATAGTAGATAAAAGCACACTCTTATATGCAGGAATGCTTTATAACTGAACAGATGCCACGTCTATTTATTTTTCTTACCACCTCCTTAAGCCATGTCATCAGGTCAACTCTAGAGAACTGGGCATCAACCAGTTGGCTAGCTAGGTCATAGCCTGCCAACCCGCGTTCGAGGCTCAGTCTCCACTAGGTTGGTGCTCGGCTTTCCTAAAACATGCAACCAAGGGGCTAGCCCTGGTTGGTCAAAGTCATAATAAAACTCATATTTTTCCCTTCTCCCTAAGACACCTCCAGCATGCCCCATTCAAATCCTCACATTATGTAACCATCAAGGCAACTATTCAAACAGCCCTAGCAAGTAGCGAGGAGCAATCAAGCGGCAGAACATGACCAGAGAGTAAGGTATTAACTCTGCCGCTTCCACAACATCATATTTCAACATGTTCTCATGTTCCTGTTTCTTTTCATTAAAATCACAGAGTTTGCATCAACTTCACCGATAGTTTTGGTTCTATATATTGTTGAAAAAGAGCATTAAGCTGCAGACAATTTGGTATTCATGGTATGCCATTAAAACTCCCGTTACTCAGCCCATGAACTTCCATGCTATTCTAATTTCCATGGTGATTACGTGATTGCTTTCAGATTTTTCTCTTATGTAATTCAATTGATACCATGAATTACTGTTTACCGAAAGCAGAAGATTGATGGCCATATCTCTAGCAGTGGTTAATCTAATTATCTGCTCTTTTTATGAACGCACGGGCGTTGCCATGTTTTTTTGACTGATTGTGATTGGTGCTTGCCATGCCTCCAATGGCTGAACAGCTAGTAGATCCTGCACTGGAACTTGAGGTAGGTGATTCAGATTCTTCTTCTTCAAAGTCATTACCAGGAGACTAATTGGTTTAAGTTTTTGTCTTTATTTACTTTTGCCTACAGCATTGTACATATACTTTTTCAGCAAGTTATATATCCTATATACTTAAGAAGTTCACCCCCACTACTTGATTTATCTCAACATGCAACATAGACACATCAGCATCCAATCACGTGAAGCCACGTCACACCTTCATGAAGTCCCACCTCCTGATGTCATATTCCGTGAAAGAAAAAAGAAAATATGCCCCAATCTTTCCTCACGCCCTGCTCGGGCTCCTCCACCCGCCGCCAGCCTCCCTCCTCACCCCCTTCATGCGCCCCGAATCGTCCTCACGGCGGCGGCGCTCCGGAGTCCGGACCCTGCCATCCCCATCGCCTTGGGCTCCTCCTCCCGCTTGCCAGCCTTCGTCGCCGCCGACATCCTGGGGCGCCTTGACGCTTAGGCGACGACTAGGCGACGCTTAGGCGACGCCTTAAAAACATAGCATACACCTATATGTACATCAAACACCAGGGGAATCGAAACAAGCTACTAGACCTAGAAGAAATCCAATGGGGAAAAGAAGAAGACAAGGACAAACAACCGAAACCACAAGGTACTGGAGCAGAAACCTAGCTGAAAAAGATGAGGAGGAGATCAGAATCGCCGTACACAACGAAGAAATCGCAGGAATCGCCACACACACACACCGACATGAGGAAGGGGGACAAAGAGAGAGCCAGGGAATGCGGTAACGGGCTGGCCCGGAAACAAAGTGTGCCCGATAACGCACAGAAAAGAAAATCTCCACGAAAAGGATAGCTCCAGTGCGGATCTCGGCATGAGATCCAACGGCCAAAATATGAATGAAGACTAACTGTAAATCATTCGACTGAAAATTAGCAAAACCGGTAAAATAGCCTAAAATTACACTAAGAATTGCACTGTAATTTCACTTGTAACATAAAGTAAAAACTCTAAAATTCACTGTGATCACACTTGTAAGAAAATAGTAAAAACTAAGATTTACAGAGTAAATTCAGTGATACGAAAGGACACTCTGGAGCAAACACACATTTACACAAAGTTCACTACAAACAACCAACTCATACGCCCTGGAACAATAGAGAAAATTCCACTACTAGCACCACTAAAATATACAAAAAGAATCATGAGTACTGCATGGAATTAGAACTAAAACGCCAAACTAAGGTTATATCTTACTACACTATATATTCACTCGATTACATTAAAAAATTGTAGAGAGATTACTTTGAAATTACAACAAAATATTACAGCTAAAGAAGTAATTACAGCAAGAATACTCTGTAATTACATCAAAAATTACACTAGCAATGAAATCCCCTATAGCAGATGAATCCCCTAATATTTTTGCCCTAATACAAACGGCCATATATAGTAGATGAATCCCCTATAGCACATTACTCACTCCTGAAGCCTAATCCAAGCGCACGAACAGGACATATCACATACAACTAAAGGCCGCAGGAGCTATCACATTCAACTACCTAAAACAACAGATTGGAGCGCCCTAACGATACACACATCAACAACAACAACCTAAACAAAAATCGATCTGAACTCAAACGATCTGAGGAGCAAGCCAACACATCGAAAATCCAGAAAGGAAAGAAGGGGAGGGGGAGATTGGGAGGGGCTGAGCGCGAGGGGAGCCGGAGGTACACCACACCTCAAGGCGGGAGATGCAGCAGACCTCAGCAGGCAGATGCGGCGGCGAGGGGATCTACAAGCCCCTTCCTCGGCTCCTGATCCTCCTAGCGGCGGCGGCGCTCCGGACGCAGCCATTCCCATCGTCCGCCCCAGTTCCTACGGGATCCAGCAGGATGATGCGGTGGATGCGACCATTCCCCCCGCCCCCCTGCCCCCTTCCTCGCCGACGCCATGGGCATGGCCTGATGGGAGCATCCCGAGCAGCACCTGTCGGATGGCTCGGGAAGGAGCAGCTCGCGCCTCACTGGTCTACCACCGTCCCCTCCTCCCGCCTACTCGCCGCTGCCATGCCCATAGCCTGACGGGAGCATCCCCGAGAAGGCCCTCCAGTGGCTCCTCGCGCCGCCGGCCTCGCCTTCCCTGCCGCGACCAGCAGCCTCCGTTCCAGCAGTGGGATTAGCTCGGAGGAAGAAGCTCGCAGTAACGTCCCTATCAATGCCCAGTTAAGGTGAGCATGTCTTCCCCTTATTGTATTTAGGATGGTTTGTACTTCATCTGATGTCTATGATGTTTTGCTTGCGTTCGTTTCCAGGTGGTGTTTCATCTTGCTCTTTTCTTCGCGCTTAAATCGTTGGGTCAATGCACTATTTGCTCACGCCAACCTACCCAGCCCATTGCTTCAAACCTTTTGCAGCCTAATGTTCCAAATGGCCCACAGAAAAGATAAGAAAAAACCCTTCCGCTGCAGGTAATTGATGATTGACGCTACACTTCCTCTTCCCACGATCTGCACAAGAAATTGAAGAATTCCCCTTTAAAGTCTGCCCCACCTTAGCTCATCCTTTTCACATCATCTTCCAGCATGGGTGGACGTCTGCGATAGGGTGTTCATACTGCCCGCGGCGTCGCCTTTCTTCTCGTACCTAACCCTATTCGGCATCAACCAAGTCCATCAAGATCTTCATCATTGGTACGTGCTCTCACGCCTCAACCGCCGTACATCGGCATCTGCTGCCGGCTCGACCTGAGCTCTGTCTCACGGGATACGTGTGTGTAGGTACAAAGACAATCGGTTGGACGCGAAGCAGCTAATGGGGTCCGGGGGATGCCATCGTCGCAGTCGGCCACTGTCACATCACTCGCCGTCGTCATCTACTTACAAAAAAGGTTCATCAGCCCCCTGTTCACCACTGCTGCGATCTTTGCCTATTACGTTAGTGAAGTTTCTTCTCTTGATTATTCTAGCTATTGGAAATGTAGGATCTCGTGATCAATCTCACAAGTAGTACCTTTTTGATAAATAGTTTGGTAACCTACATCATTCGGTTCATTTCTTGGATCACTTTCAGTAGTTGTCAATTTTAAGTCAAGAATCAAGTTTTAACAGAAGTGTATAGAACGCACATCATGGTTCAGCTATTACTTATTAAAAGTACAGTACATATGATAGAAGCTGCAAGTGCCTTATTGCTGAAATCTATGACATAGAGGTGTAGCCATGGTGGTGATATTCTTTCACTGTGAAGATCAGGGGCAGAGCCAGATTTGAAGCATGCCCTTGGCTGTCCATTCTAAATTTGCTATACGATGTTAATGAACACAATTTCTTTCTTATCTCTATACATCTTTACGTCCGATAAGTGATATTACAGGGTTACCATACATGATTTTATCAGAAACAGTGATTCTGGAGTACATTTGTTTTCACAGTATGAATTACTAGCAGGAGGCGTCAACTCAACGCTCCTTGAGCACCGATGAAGCGTTTCATGACGTGGTTCCTTCAGGTTGTTGTGGACGCGCCATAAAGATCCATGTCTACTTGCATATCATAGACAGTTGTTGACTCCATACTGCTATCTTTCCTTGGATTGCACCCAGGATTTGTACGTGGCGAGGTAACTACTCTCTTACCTTAATCCTCCATTTTATCACTCAAATTAGCCTGCCATGCTATTTATTTCCTGTCTGTTGGCGGATGAATGAGTATTTGCATTATTTGCTACTTAATGTGAGGTTATCCTATTTGATTCATGTTTATTGATTTTTCTTCAGGATTATTGTTAAACTGTGCTACCTGATTTCCTACATCAGAACAACAAAACATTGGTGGTTATGGTACATGGAGGGCTTGAGTTTCACAATTCCTTTTCATGCCCACTATCAAAAATAAAACGAAAAGACAACATCAGATTGTCTAGCAACCATTGAGCACTGCAAGTTGTTTCCCTGGCTCTATGGGATGTCGTACATAGTTCATAATTAATACTTTCCTTACAGTTGTCGAAGCACACTTTTGTCTCGCCGTCGTGCCTTGCTTTCCTAAGAGATCTTGCAGCAATCTTAATGGAGCGGCTATGAACCAAAATATTCAGAGTAAATATGAAGACTCTATTCTCCCATTTCAGTTTATTCGAAGAATCAAGAATGCCAAGTACAGCCCAACTTCTTATTGTTGTTTTGCAAGGAATACGAAAGATAAAATCATCTAATTAGGAAATTTTTAGGCAAAGTACAAACTACAACTATAAGCCTTTCAGAAAAAGTTATGATTCCAGTATAAACAAATAAAATTTTGTTCTATTTATTTACAATACAGCTTCCCTAGCAATTTTAAGAACTATGTCAATGTATTCATGATGTCTCTCAATGTTTGAAACATATATCTTAGCTGACTGCTCACATGCTTTCCCTCTACTATCATATGCCCATAGTTAATTCTTATGTCCATAATTCATTTTTTCAGTTGTTAAGATTTGACAACACAAATTTGAAGATTTTTTAGGTGAACAAATACCTCATTTGAAGCGACTATAGGGTAAGCAAGTGTGCTCGAATGACTTCAATGCTCTTACAGTCAACATAGATACTTGGGGAGAGGAATATGTGCCTGTTACTAATGAATCTCTTTATGTTTTTGTGGAAATATATTAGTTCCATTGGATTTCAAAAGTAATCTCTTTTTGTTTCAAAATTTCAAATGTAAATATCAATATTCCATTCGATTTCTAACATCAACATTTGAAATGTAAATGTATTTTTCAACATTTCAAGCCATATTTTATTTTTTCATTTATAAAGTATCTGCTTTTCTTTGAATCTGCTGATCGAAACTAAAAAGTCCCGCAGCAACGCACGGGGTATCATCTAGTATATATAGTACTCCCTCCGTCCCAGAATAAGTATCGCTGATTTAGATAACACACACGCCATGTAACCTGCGTCACAATTCCTAAAGAAGCTGCTTTTGTGATTTTCTCTTTAAGCCTTGTTTGGATTGTCGTTTCGTTTTCAAATACCCCTGTAAAAAATACAGGCCTTGGGCGGTCGTTTTGTTTCCGGCCGGAAATTGTTCAGCGGCCAGTAAGATACAACAGTAAATTAAACACCCCCATACTGAAATACAACGATCCCAAGCGCGGCCTTATTGTGCATGGTGATTGCCATGCACTACTGATGGTGCTACTCAAGCTCAATTTTACACGTTTCCTTTAATCAGCAGCACGATTTTGTTCAATGGTCTAAATAGACAGATGGTGCTACTCAAGCTCAATTTTACATGTTTCCTTTAATCAGCAGCACGATTTTGTTCAATGGTCCAAATAGACAGATGGTGCTACTCAAGCTCAAACATTCTGTAATACTGTGGAATTGATCAAAGCAAAGCTAACCGTTCATTTTCAAGCCTGATGAACAAGATATTTGTGTGCGGCAAAGAATAAAATAGCATCCATGACATGTAAGACTAGGTAGCAAGTTATTGGCCTGAAGTACCACATGCCATTGTGCGGCAAAGAATAAAATAGCATCAATGACATGTAAGAGTAGGTAGCAAGTTATTGGCCTGAAGTACCTCATGCCGTCAAGCTTTACAGTTCATCTTTATGGAACACGGACAGGGAAGAAATAATTGGGTCATAAATTCAATTTGTCTTTCACCGGTCTATGTTAAATTTTTGGTCAACAGCATAAATCACTTCTAGAGCTCTTCCATGTTCCTTTACACATTTCCCTCCTCATTTCCTTCACTATTTGTGCAACTTCTAGACATGCATATCTTGGAAGGAAAAACTTTGGCATAATGAAATATCTCTGTGCTTAGTTATTTATACTACTTTTGCAGATCCAACATTTTTCTGTTTGGGCCCGCGGCAATGCATGAGCTACAAATTAGTACTCCCTCCTTTCACAAATATAAGATGTTTTGTATATTTCAATATGGACTACATACGAACTTAAATGAGTGAACAAACACACTAAAACACATCTATATACATCTGATTCACAAAAAAGTTAGAACATCTTATATTTGTGAACGGAGGGAGTACTAATTAATGAGGAAATCCTAATTGGATGAGCAACAAAGAGTTCCCATCAAGCGTCTAAATGCTTGCTGTAGCACCCTATATTTCAGCATCACCTATGGAGAAATTCTGATTTGATTGTCGTTCCGAAATATCAGACTGGCACCAATCAAACACTATCTAACCTTTCAGACAGATAAATCAGTCCAATGCGAACTATTCGTGCTGATACTGCTGTCTGCCTAGCGGTGCCTTGGGAGTGTCGAAACGCTGCCATTGTTGTATCCTTTCAAGCCATCAGCATGCTGCTGTGTGACTATGGCTGGCAACAGAGCTATTTCGGATGGCAATGGGGCTATTCCCCAAAGAGGTGTGCCTTCCCATCCCAGCTTCCTATTTACTTATCAGGGGAGCTCTTGCTTCCACCACCAATGATTTGGCGCAAAACAGGGGCCAGTTAAGAAACTAAATCAAATAACATTGTCATCAATTTTATCGTATAGTAGGAACATAACATTTGTATATTATTAAGTATGTAGAGGCCAATCCTGTGCAAACCCAATCCACTATTAAGAACTTGTCTAACATTTGAGAAAAGATGACATCATGCAATGCCTATCAGTTTACCCTAAAACTGGAAAGCTCATATTCCTAAGAGGAACTTTTTGACATACAAATAAGATAATCAAAGCAGAAAAGAATTGAAAAAAATAGAAGAACTATATACCTTTGAAACATATAAACCCTGGTCAACATCTGGGAATTTTCTATAGATACGCTCCAGGACTGCCAGTGTCACCATATGAAGAGAAGTATACCTTAAACCAAGCCAAGGGCTAATTAATTTCCTGCACAGCAAGAAAATTCTTATTTGACACATACTCAGCTAAAAAAAGAAAAGGGAAGTAGTACTAAAGAACAAATGAGGAGCCCATTTTCCCTAATAAGAATGCTAAGGTTAAACCTATAACAGAAAAGAAAAAACAGTGGAAGCATCACGACTTCACAAGTAGAATAGTTTACCCGAAGCTATGGTGTTGTTCCAGGATCCTTGAAACAATTAACACTGGAAGGTACGATGTTTGATTGTCTTCATAAAAGTTAATACCAAGAACTTGACCATTGTAATTGACAAGAGGTCCTCCAGAACCAGCCTGCAAAAAGGGAAAAACAATGGAGAAGGTGTCAGTGTAATCAAGAGATAAACAAAGAATTTGCAAAGTCTCCTGAGGACAACTGGCCAGCACCATGGATAGTGGATTAGCCAGTTCAGCTCATTCCTCGGCATTTTGTGCTTGTGTGTGCTGGCGGGGTAAAGAGAAGAGTGACATGTATATATAGTAATTTCAGTTTCACCATGAAAGAGAAGCATGCTTCATGAATGCCTAGCTTCACTAAATTGAGATTAAATTTAACCAAACGAACAAAGAATCACAATTATGATCAATTAATTAGACTATTCCACTTTCGTAGGTGTTACTACATTGTTAGTTCATGCAGCTTCTGCACCATCTAGGTTTGTGTGGTACACAGGTCACAACTATGCGGAAGGGGTCAATAAGAAGATAAAAAATAAATATGATATATTTTATACCATTGAAACCTCGCAGCTTGACACCAATAGCTCCGCGCACCCAAAATTGCTTTTTTTGTTTAAAACTTGACCCCGTGAACACATGATATAACCACCTTCATATGCACGTCCAAGTGCTAACACAGCTCCATTGTTGGCAGTGCTTTCTTCTAAGAGTGCTAAATAAGCTGCAACTTTGACAACAGCTACATTATAGTGAAAATCCACAAGAAAGATGTGGCCATCTATTATATGCCCATCAGGTAGAAGAACCTTGACCTGAAATCAGGTATCAACAAAAAATCAAGACCAACTGACAAGAATAAATCTACATGTTTGGCAATGGATTAAGGCTCAAAAAAATTACCGTCACATCAGATATCACATTATTGTCTCCATTCAGAGATCTAACAAGTGTTGCTGAGGTTAAAATCATATTTGCACCAGTATTGGCTGTTCCATGCATCACAAATCCTGAACAAACACGGATCCTCTTTCCACCTAAATTTTATTAACACCTTACTGAGGCTTCAGGTCAAACCAAATATGGAAAAAATGGCTACTGAGTAAACCTATGATATACCTGCAAAAGCAGACAGGCTCACGACTGACTTTGAGACCAATAATGCAACTTTACGAGCCTGGAGACTCTCAAGGCTGCCATCATTGCAGTCACCAAACGTATCCTCCACAGAAAGGTCGGATTCCCCAGAGAGTCTTTTAACTACAATATGCAATTCATAGCCATGGATATTAGTCAGAAAGAAACATATATGTTTGATGTCCAATTAGAGTAAATAATTATGCAGAGATAACAGGTTAACCACCTAACTCTTGCTTTAATTTTCCAGACTATAAAGTCTACTGCATATGGTTGATGACATGCAGCGGCAAATAGAACTCATGAAAATATTTGTTTGAGATCCTTTTCCACATGTGAAATGACAGACACACTTATAATGAGACTAGGTGATTTATAACACAGTCGTCAACATGTACATGTAGAAATACAAAAGGCGTATTGAGAACATATTGGTCAAGTTGGAAATAAGTGAGAGAAACAAAATATGGCAAAACAATGCAAACCATGAGAATTAAGTGACTTTGGCAAAAACTAAGAACATTACAGCTTGCAGTGATCTTATGTACGATATGCAGTTAGTGAGAGGCCACCCCCTTGTTGAGCTTGAGATTGAGGCATTTTTGCCGTGTCTTGACTCACCTGAGCCCCTAGATGTGCCCTTTTTGCCCCTTTGAAAGCACTCTGTATTCTAGTGCCCTTGATACTGGAGCTGATATGCAGGTAAGTATAATAGGGCAAGTGCCCAAAAAACGCACTTTGTTGTATGAAAAGGTGCTCTCAAATGTACCGCGAGGCTACTAAGGTGTTTTCAAGAAGCAAATCGAGAGGCGCTCTGAACTCATACCGACAGAGTTATTTATTTTGGGCTAATTTTGTACTCAGTCAGAGAATGTAATATAATTTGCCACACATGTACACAGCAATACACCCAGTGAAATCTACCAACTACTAAGGGCATCTACAACGGGGACGCTAAGAACGGGCGCCAGGGTAGATTTCCGGGCCGTTATGTTCAAATCCCAGCCGAGCCATGGATTTTGCCTAGCGTCGATGCTAATTGTCGCGTCGAGCGCTTAGACTAATTTTGTCAGCAAGCCGAAGGCGCTAGTGATTGTTTTTAGTATTTTTTAAGCGCTCCGCGTTGCTGGGTAGGGGAGGGGACGGGTTAGGTCCAGGTGTCTGGGTCGACGGCCGCATCAGGCTCGGCCGCTTCGGTTGCGTTGCGTCCGACCCAATCTGTCCGTATTCCCATTGGAACCCTTGTTGTTCCCTGTTATTTTTCTTTTCTTTTTCTTGGAGTGAATTGCGCAGAATTTTTTTTAACACAGTGCAGACGACAGAGAAATAGACGTGGTAGAGGAATCCCCGCCGCTACCCGGTGGATTCGTGATGACGTGACGACGGCTGTTTGTCTAGCATCTCGTCTGATCAGTGATGCTGGGGATTTTCCAACTGAGCCAAGAAAAAATTGTTGGGCTAGGCCGTGTCGGAGTGGCTGGGGACTGAAAGAATAACCATGTGAGCTAGTGGTTATTTTGGACTCAATGCTCATATGATATCGATGAAGAAACCGAACGCTAAACAGTGGATGTTCACAATGATAGGAGTCGCCGTCTCAAGAAGCGTTTGTAAGGAAGGATGATAGTCACTTTTTAGGCTACGTGATGGACGAGACGGAAAGTAATACACGAGGGGGTGTTTCAGAGTCCATTAACAATGGATCTTTTCGTCAAATATTTCATTGCAAAACTTGGAGAAGCGCCAAAAACTACTACTGCTCCTAACCTTGCACCAGTCTGACAAAGGAAACCTACACGAATGATTGCTCTGCCACAGGGTTTTGCTAAGATCCATGTTGACGCAGGCCTAACAAGAACACAAAGAGGAGGCTCAACGACGGCTGTATGTAGGAACTCCCATGGAAACTATCTGGGCCCGTCGGCATTGGTGATCCATGGAGTGCGAGATGTTACAACACTTGAAACTATTGCTTGCAGAGAGCCTCTATCATTAGTTGAGGATCTCCTTCTACACAACATAGTAATCGCTACTGGTTCCAAGCAGGTAGCAAGCGATATCAACAGAGGATGTATAGCTCTCCATGGCCAGATTATAACTAAGATTAAGCTAAGGGCAGAGGAGTTTAATTGTACTTTTCAGTTTGAGGGTCGGGCATCAAATAGTGAGGCCCATTTGTTAGCCAGGTTTAGCCGCTCTCTAGATTGTGGTCATCATGTTTGGTTGGGACAGACACATGACCCCGTTTATATCCATAGCGTTGTGATCTTTGCTTAATAAAGCTTGGTTATTCTCAACAACAAAATGTTTCTAAGATAAATCCCTTTTTTTTTCAACCGGGAATCACCTTCTCATTAATCGCTCACGGAATCATATATCGGGTTATGTTTTGTTAATTTTGCTTCTCTTGCCTATGAAAAATATATTCGGAAAGGACATGCCCCTTGGCCCAAAATACAAGAAATAACAAAAGGTCACTCGGATCCTCCACATTGAACAAGACCTGCACCTGTCTGTGCCCAACACGCGTCGCCGCAGCGCCCGCCGGAGGAAGAGGACATGAATCATCAAACTTTGAAGTAAGGGTGCGTCCTCGCATTTCTATGCTTGTAGATCCTCTTGAGTGGCCCAAAAGTCATCTTCTTTGTGTTTCGTCGGCCTGCCCGGTACACCACACTCTTCAGGTATGAGACTGAACACCACGGAGGCGGGGTAGGCATGCAAGACCATCCCACCGCCCACTATAAGACATGTGTTGAGCTTGTCATCCCTTCCAAGACCAAAACCAACGAAGAAGCCAGATCTGGCACACCTCTGTCCAAAGATCCCACTGAGTTCTACACCGACTTTGGAGCAGCTATCAACGTAGCAGAGGAGAAACTCTAGGACAAAATCTTTTGTCGGTGGCACCACTCCCAACTTGGTGCCGTTGGCCAAGAATACACATCTCACCACCGTGCACAGCAAGCAAGCAAAACCTAGCCTCGACACCCTAAAAGGACCCCATGAATCTATTTCCACCAGACCACCATCCACGCCACATCGACTTTGGCCGAAAGGAACCGAACCTGCGGAAAACACAAGGAATGTGGCACGAGCACACTTTCAGTGTTAGGGTTCCCGTCCCTCCCGCCGCCATCGGAACGGCCAATGGAGGGTAAGGGAACCCAGGGATTGACCAACGTACGAAGGGGAAGATAGATCGCATGTGGAAAGAGGCGTTTGGCTGGTCCCCCTGAGCCCGCCCATTGAGGAAGGCGGCAGCAGAAGGCAGATGTGCTCGGGAGGGATGAGTTCGAAATATGAGGCGCTTGGGAGCAAGAACACGAGCGAGGACCGTCGATCCAGTAGAAGCATTTACCTTGTTTCAAGTGGGATGCACAAAAAAGTGAAACATGGCTCGAAACTTCAATTCTCTCTATGAAAAGCATCTCCAAAGAAAATTGATAGTAAGTTCCTGCTTTGTATTAAACCGGTGGATCGACACAAGATCTATGTCAAATTACAAGCCAAAAGGCAAGCAAAAGGAGAAGTGCAACCCGACACACTATGACATGAAGTAGTAGTACACAAAACATGCCAGCACCATAGGGAGGGAGGCCAAGCAAATCCAAGAGTCCACAGGGAGTCTTCTGCAGTCGACCAAATGCCTAATAAACACCTCTACGCGGCGTGATATTTACTACGCGAAATGGAGATGCAAAAAAAATTGAATCATGAATTTCAAGGCCGCCTAGAAGTGTACCTCCATTTTTTTTCCCTGATCGGCTTGTTAACATGGATTAACACGAGATCCACAGCGAATTACAAGTCATGGTTTCTCAACAAAAATACAAGCCATGTAGAT